GCTCCCCCTCTGTGGCAGAGCCAGCTGCACCTGGACCGTGTTTGAACAGCACATGGGCAGCCGAGGCAGGTCTGAAAGCAGCTCCCCACATCCCTTCAAGTAAGTGACTGGTTTTTCATGCTTGTTTCAGGGCCAGGGTTGCAATAGAGGCTGCTTAGAAATAAATGTATGTGGATGCCCCACCCTGGCTGGGCACAGAACCAACTTATGGCGGGAGGATCATCCCGAGCGTGGAGGGTTCCTGTTTGCTACAGACCTGATTTGTGCATGGTCTGCTGCTAGCCCTGGGCTCCTGGAAGGGGCTGGTTTATGTGCATCAGTTCTCTGCCCCCACAAGTATTGCACTGAGTTTTAGTGCTGAAAACTAAACAAGGCAAACTTTATGGCGAGGAGGAAAATGGCCTGACTCATCCCCATGTTGCTGCAGCAGTGTGTTAGCGTGGCTCTTGTGAAACAGCGTGGCAGAGAATCCAGCCCCGGGCTTCCAGCATGCGGATGTTAAGTGCTTTGACAGCGTTTGTGGAATAGAGTTGCTTGGGGCTGGGAATAATTGAGAATAGCGGGCAGAGCTCTGTGCTCCCTCCATCCCAGTTGCGCCGTGGCCCTGGGTGGAGCTGCGCAGTGATCAGGATCCACTTAGCCTGCCAGATGTGTGTGGACCTTTTACAATTGGGTTCCCTTTGTCTCAAACGTTGAAGACCCCCTGCTCTGTCACAGGGGTTGGAGTGTGCACACTTAACCCCCCGCACGTTGTGTGCCATCCAACAGATGCAGGCAGCCACACAAGAGGTTTTGATCCAAATTCTGGGCTTAGCTGAGACTGCCTTTGCCAATGCTATGCCCCAGGCAGGCTGAGCTATCGGCTCCTACCTGGATCCTTGCTGCTCGCTGGGGATGCTTAGGATTCACACCTTTCAAACCTTAAAAGTGAAGCAAAGCCCGTGAGAGCGAGGCAGATCGCACAGGTCTCAGCCAACCTCCCCCTGTAGCAAGCCCAGAATTTGGACTGAAACCTCTTGCATGGCCACCTGCATCTCCTGGATGGCGCACAACATGCAGGGGGATTAAGCATGCACACTCCAACCCCCGTGACAGAGCAATGGGTCTTCAATGTTTGTGTTATATCAGATAAAGGGAACCCAATCATAAAGTTCCCCCCTGAAAGGCCCATACACATCTGGAAGGCTGAGCTGATCCAGATTGCTTTTAACCCCCCCCACCTCCAGCTCCTGTGCTACGCATCGAAAAAGCCCCATGCTACAAGCCCAATAGCCGGAGCAGTCCTGCCACAGTGGCTGGGCTTTCTCACAAGTGGATGCTACGGGCAGGGGTCCCTTGTTAACAAAGCGGCAGCTGCATACAGACACTGTGCACCCATAGCAATGGGTGTAAGAAGATTTCAGCCCCATTTCTCAGTGCTGGCATTGTCACACGTAGCCACAACATGCAGGACAACTGAGCTTGGGTGTATGCTGCAGGTTCCAGACAGCAGAGACCAGTCAGGCAGGGGCATAACCTAGACCCCAGTGTAGACATTGCTGTGGTGGCAGAAATGTGATCTGGCAGAATCGATTGTTTCAGAGGACTGGCAAAATTGCAGTTTGGCCCATACGAAGTACTCTGCTGCTGTGGCTACCAATATAGCAAGACACACTGCTCAAGAAAGCACCACGCTCCCTGTATCTATTCCAATGCAAAGGAGTTTTTAACCCACAGAGCACCAATCCTTTCATCATCATGGGATCCTGTTGACTGGGGATCCTTCACCCAGCCTAAAACTACCCTACGAAGCCAGCTGGCCTGCTGTTACTATCAGAGAAGCAAGATTTATTTGGTGATATCTTTTACTGGGCCAACTACAGAGTTGAGAGAGAGGCCAGAAAAGCTTCCAGGCAAAACACACCTTTCCCCAACTCCAGCGGAAAAAGCAGACGTGACCTAAGCTAGACACTGGGGGAAACAAAAATAATTGCTTTAAATTTCCTTTTCTATTTAAACACTTGTCTAACATCTTTCCCAACTATGTAGTTGGTCTGATAAAAAGATATCATTACAAAAATATTCTCATATATTCCCTGGACTAGCAGCTACAAGAGCACTACAACACCCCTGCTGTTACTATCGTCAGATAGTACACCACTTGGCCCTGCGGGTCTCCAAACATTCGTTAGGCCCCAGGTAGGCATGCAGCAGCAATGCAATTTGCCCCAAGTTGCATAGCAAGGTTATAGCAGAGCTGAATAATAAAGCAAATGGTAATCTAGTAAGGAAGGCTCGAATGGCCTCACAGGGTGCTTGTACACTTTATCGGGTTTTTCTAGCTAAAGATATTCTCTGGAGAGAGGAGGTAGCCACCGCAGAGATGGGCTCAGAGGCAATTTCTTTGGTCTTTTAGTAACCAACCCCACAGAGAGTCTTTCTGGGTATTCACAGGGAAACCAAATGCCTGACGTTTTCCTTGTACCTTGGGTTGACTCTCTCCGCTCTTCCTTTACTCTGCGTTTGTCAAGGTGATTTGAAATCCTTGTAGGGAAGAACGTGTGACAGCCTGGGAACGAGGGTGAAGGCTGATACCACTACTATTTATCTTACTCTGGTCCCTGAAAGCAAGTGAGGGCAGAGTTGTGATGCTGGCGGAAAGCCAATGCAAGACTGCATTCAAAAGGCAGGATGGGGCAGAGGGTAGGGCACTTACCTAAGACCTGGGAGAGCGGGGACCAAGGCTTTACTCTGCCACAGACTGTCTGAGGGACCTTAGGCGGATCACTTAGCTTCTCTGGGCTTGATGCCCCATTCCTACAGTGGCGATAATAGCATTGCCCTACCTCCCAGGGGTGTTGTAAGGACATATATGCTAAAGAATACAAGGTGTTCAGTTAACAAGGCCACAGATGCACACAAACTCCTAACAGCCTTGCCAAAATCATCTGAATGTCAGCGTGGTCCCACCAGCTCCTAACCTTGTTGGGCCAGCCAGAAGGCACCAGGCTGAAGTTCGAACCCAGACTCCTGCTAACAAACTGGTGTTCCTGGGGTAGCACTAGTTTAGCAAGTGCTGCTCAAGGCAGGGGTGACTGGTGCCTCCTGAGTCTGGGGGGACATGCTGCAGACTGGAAGCGGCCAGCCCAGCAAACTGCAGACCACCGGCCAGAACACAGGTAAAGTTACCTCTAGCCCCCAGGCGGGGAGGGGGTGGACCCAAATCTCAACCGCGGCTGCCGCAGGCCCTGTAGGAGGAGCTGCGGCCTCTCCGCCAGGCTCTGCAGGGTCATGGTTTGCCATCCTAAGCGGTGCTGAGTTGGGGGCCAATCTCAGGGGGGGCACGTGCCCCTCCCGTAACCTCCCCTACCAGTCACCTGTGGCTCAGGGCTCTGGGCACACTGACCCTCAGCATCATCCAGCCTCACAGAAGGGAGTAGCTCCTCTCTCTACACGCACCCCTCCTCTGTCCAGAGTGCTAGGGAGAGGAATGGGAGTGACTGGGAAAGGTTAGGGACAGCTCCCAGAACCCAGGATGCTCCATTCCTAGTAACCGTGCAATCCCTGGCTACGTCTGATGTCAGGATGGCTAGAGATTGGCCCCAGCCCACTAATCAGGCCTTCATCCACCTCTTTGCATGCCAAAATCAAGCTGGTTAAGGGGGCAGGGCAGCTACCAAAGACAAGGGGATGCGTGCCACGTCTCTCTTGCTGCCCCTTGAAAGCTGGCAGATGTAAGGCTATGTCATTTTGTCTGCGGCGCATTGTCCTCTGCAGATAGTGTGAGGCGAGACGACCCACCTCCACTTGAAAGCTCTGCCGGAGGGGAGAAGACGAGATGGCCGCCCTCATCGCTGAGAACTTCCGCTTCTTCTCACTCTTCTTCAAGAGCAAAGATGTGATGATCTTCAATGGCCTGGTGGCTCTGGGAACGGTGGGCAGTCAGGAGATCTTCTCGGTGGTTGCCTTCCACTGCCCCTGCTCCCCAGCCAGGAACTACATCTATGGACTGGCTGCCATTGGTGTCCCGGCCTTGGCCCTCTTCCTCATCGGCATCATCTTGAACAACCACACTTGGAACCTGGTGGCCGAGTGCCACAAGCGGGGCACCAAGAACTTCTCCAGCCCGGCCACCTTCCTGCTCTTCGGCTCCATCCTGGGGCGGGCGGCGGTGGCCCCCATCACCTGGTCCGTCATCTCATTGCTCCGTGGAGAAGCCTACATCTGTGCCCTGAGTGAATTTGTGGCTCCAACCTCTTTGGACAAGTTTCCAGCTGAGTATGGAGCAGAAACCCTGGCCATGTTCCCTTGTAAAGAGGTGCCAACGAACCTGACTCACTTTAAAGAAGAAGTGATCAGAAGATTAAGATACGAGTCTCAGGTACCAATTTGTTTGCCTGTATAAAGTGGGGAGGGAGCATGGCCTCACGGCTGAAGGAAGCAGGGCTCCTGGGTTCTTTTTCTGGCTCAGGATGAAAATGTCGTCTCTTAGTTAGTGGGGAGAAGTAACAGTAAGATTTCTTGGTCCATTAGTAACTCAGAAGCTTGTGCATGACCCTGCGCAAGTCATTACCCTTCTCTGTGCCTCATCGTCCTCCCCTTTCCAAAGGGAAGGCTGGTTCAGCCACCGTCTGTTAATAACTTCACTGAAGCACCAGGCTGGGAAGCCAAGTAAGGCGGAAGTCCCCAAGAAGCCAGTTCTGTTCAGAGACAGTTCCCATGCCTGCACGACTCTCCAGTTCAGCTGCTTGAAGCAGTCTCTCTTTCCAAGGTGCAAGTTGTCTGGTCAGTGTGAGGCCAGTCTCTGCTGCCAAAACCCTCCCTAGGTTTTGCATTTGCCATCAGGTTGTCCCTGCTACGGGGAAGCCATGCTTTGTGAGGAGCTACAGAAAGGTGGCAGGTCTTAGGTGAGCGAGCAGCATATGTTATCAAGACAGAGGAATGTATTTTCCTAACCATCCCCACGTGAGCTGATTGAGCAGCTTTGTTATTCTGCAGCACCATGTTAGATCCAGGCTAGACACAGACCCTCACTTCACTCACCAGTACTTCTTGTCCAGTAAGGAACAGGTAGGATTTCATAGATTCATAGACGTTCGGGCCGGAAGGGACCTATGAGATCGAGTCCAACCTCCTGCCCTGGGCAGGAAAGAGTGCTGGAGTCAGATGACCCCAGCCAGGTGTCTGTCCGGGTGTTTAGGAGTATCCATGATTTGGAGTAGGAGGGGGCTTCAGATGGGGGATGTGGGGAGAAAAACACTGGCCAAGCTACAAGAGGGTTCCAGGTCGGCAGGAGCAGGGGAGGCCTCCAGTCAGGACAAAGGCGCACCAGAAGTGGAGAAGGAAGTGTTTCCAGTCAGGATTGAAATGCATGAGTAGAACATGGGTGAGGATCTCCAAAGGCCTGCCTGTTTTCAAAGCAGTACAAGCCAGGGCTATTAATTCTTCACTTCCACCAGTCCTATGCTCAGGACTTAAGAAAGCCCAAGTCTTATGGTCTGCTAAAAAAAAAAATCCCAGTACATACTGGTGCAAACCCTGGGGCAGTCTCCGAGATCAGAGTCTGGAGTTGGATGCATTTGATCAGAGACCAGTTCTAATGCAGCCGCTCGCTGTCTCTTCCCCCAGCTCTTTGGTTGGCTGCTCATTGGTGTTGTTGCCATCCTGATTTTCCTCACCAAGTGCTTGAAACACTGCTGCTCGCCGCTGAGCTACCGACAGGAAGATTACTGGGCCCAGTACCGCTCCAACGAGGCCAAGCTCTTCCGCCGCACCGCTGAAGTCCACTCCAAGATCCTGGCTGCCGGTAACGTCAAGCAGTTCTTCGGCTTCGTGGCTCTGAACAAGGAGGAGAAGGAGCTGGTGGAGGAGTTCCCAGTGGAGGGGGTCCAGCCAAGCCCACAGTGGAACGCTATCACGGGGGTCTACATCTACCGGGAAAACAAGGGCTTCCCACTCTACAGCCGGCTCCATAAATGGGCCAAAGGGGTTGAGGGAAACGGACCAGGGCCTGATGGTCAGGAAATGGCCTTCCTAGCCGTCTAAGAGCCAGCTGCCCATGGGAGGAGGGACCAGTTCCCCATACTCTCTGTCACTTTATACTCAAAACAATATAATCAACTCAGGTGCACGGTGACCAGATACGCTGCGAATGATCCTCCAGATAGGATTATTCTTCTTAGACCACAGCAAGCAACAGGGCATCAACAGCTTCTGGATAAAGACCAGCTGCACTGTGCTGTGCTGGGGAAACAGACCCTGCCTCCCTGGGATATGACTGTCACTGCTGCTCCCACTAAGTGGAGCATAATGCAGATGCATTACCTACTGCCTAGCAAGGCAGCAGTCTCGCAGTTCTGATGCACAGGCGAACCCTTGGGTCCTGCACATGCAGGGATAAATTGAGGACCAAAGTTGAGGACCAAATATCTCAGCATGGCTGAGGTCCCTGTTTCCCATCTGTAAATGCTGCAGCCTCTTTGCATTCCTTCATTTCAGAGGGGGGTGGAAAAAAAACAAAAACAAATCATACCTTCATCTTGCAGGTCTACTGTGCCTTTCCTGCAGAAGCACCCACAGCACTTCAGAGACTGTAGCAGAGTGGGAGGGAGCGATTCACTTGGCTGGGGTGGACCTCATCTACAGTCCAACAATGCACAGAAATAGTCCAGAGTCCAATATTGCAGAGGGGTATTTAGTGAAGCAGAAGGTAGTTATCCTACAGGAATTTAGGTAGGACAGTGAACACCTTGTGTCTTTCCCAAAGTGGGAAAGATCTAGATCTCCACCCTAGAGTTCTAAAGGAACCGGCCGAGGTCATTGTGGGACCCCTGGCACGGCTTTACGAGCACTCGTGGTGCTCTGGAGAGGTACTG